GGGGACGCGCGGAACACGGGCGATCCCGGGAGGACCCGCCCCGGCGCCCGCGCTCCCCGCCGGGTTCCGCCCCTGGACGGGCGGGTGGGACCGCGCGTGGGGTGAAGGGGTGAGGTGACCCCTCCCGTGCTCGTGGGGTTCAGGAAGCGGACGCTGTTCCAGAAGATCGTGGACGAGTCTAAGGAGTTCGCGGACAGGAGGAGCTGGGCCGAGCACCTGTCCCTGGAGCCCGCGCGGAAGGAGATAGTGATGTGAGCGCCGCCTGCAACCGCCCACGGGCCCCCGCGCCTGCAGGAAGAAATCGCCCTCTTTAAAAATGCATATATATACTGGTTTTATTATTGATTTCAGAGAGAGGAAAGGAGAGGGAGAGAGGGAGAGAGGGAGAGAAACATCCATGATGAGAGCCATTGACCCGCCACCTCCTGCACGCCCCCCAAACCCAGAATGTGCCCTGACTGGGAATCGAACCTCAAACTCCTGGTTCATAGGTCGATGCTCAACCACTGAGCCACACCAGCCAGGCACAGCTCTCCTCTTATCGACTTTGGTGCCTCAAAACAAATGTTCCACGTTGGTCCTCACTTTCAGGGAGACCCAGGATTTTGGGTCAGACAGGCCAGTTCTCTAGTTTGTAGACTTTAGCAACAATTTACTCAAAGTGGAGATTCAGGATCTCCCCCAGGCCTGCCCCAGAAATCTCATGAGAAAGTAGGTGTGAATCACCTGCTCCCAGAAGACACCTAATAAATACTTGCTGACTTCAGTTTGTGGTGCAGAGGACAGGCCCAGGCAGAGGTGGAGTGGGTGAGCACAGGCTGCCCCCTTCTGGAAGGTTGTTTGACTGGGACCCGTGCCCCATGGCCACCAGGCCCCGGGGTCACCAGCCCCACGGTCACTAGGCATCGAAGGCAGGAGGGTGCAGGATGGAGGGGATGGAGGGCAGCCAGGCTGGGCCTGCCTCCATTCTCTCTGTTCACAGGGCCATGATGATGACTGCATGTGACCTATCTGCCATCACCAAGCCCTGGGAAGTCCAGAGCAAGGTCAGAAGTCACAGTGCACGACCTCCCTCCTTCGTGGGTTGGTCCAGGGGAAGCCCGGCATGGGGGGAAGATCTTGTGGTTTTCGAGTATGGCTGAGGGCACTGCCCTGCTCTGGGGCTGGGCACCAGCAGCTGCAGGGGTGGAGGTGCCACCGTGCTTGGGTGTGTCAAGCCAGCTTACAAAGTGGGGCTCCTGGAGGGTCGGGAGGGAAGAAGACTGGGGACACGGAGCCTCCTAGCAGATTCTTGGGACAGTTTCTGACCCAATGCTGAACTCCAACGCATGACTGCCTCTTGTGTGCCCCCCAGGTCGCTCTGCTGGTGGCAGCAGAGTTCTGGGAACAAGGTGACTTGGAAAGGACAGTTCTGGATCAGCAGCCCATTGTGAGTGTTGCTTCCGGAATCTTCCACCCCTGTCATGGTCCTTGAGAGCTCCAGTCTTGGCTTGGTGCAGACAGGGGAACCCCTAAGATTCTGAAGTCCTGGGACCTCAATCTCTGTGGGTCATGTGACATGATCTGGGTGTGAATTTGGGTCACTCGGGATCTGGGTAAAGCTGTGATGCCCATTCAGAGAACCAGGCTGTGGCTCATGGCCGAGAGGCCCCACGAGCCCTGGCAGCTTCACAGTGGACACAGCTGGGCCTTCAGCTGCTCCAGGAAGCCAGGCAGGACAGGCGTGGCCCATGGGGAGAGTGTCGGGCCAGAGAGCCGGTGGCTGGAGCCCAGGGGCCCACACCGTGGTCGACGGATGAGGCTGGGCTCTTCAGGTCACCAGTGTGGGGTCATGAATATGCTGCTAGACCACAATGTCACCTGCATAGGAACCAAGGGGTCAAGGACAGCATAGTGGTGTTCAGCAACGTGGGAGAGATGGGAAAAGAGTCTGCCTCACAAGTCAGCCCAGTCGGTGAATAGCTGCCTGAGCACTGGCCTGAGAAGGCTTTGGTACAGACAGCAGGAAAGGGTGCCCTGACCCACCAGCAACGTCTCCTGGGGAAGGACAGGGAGCTGGCTGGTCCCCTCCAGGCCAGGCCTCTAGGGTCTGCCTGGCTCATCCTTACCACAGTGAGCTCCAGATCATGGGTAACTGAAGAAAAGACTGACAGGAGGCAGCTTGGTGGGTCCGGAGCGTGGGGACACCAAGGACAGCGCCTGTAAGCCTAGGAGCGGTTGGGCCGCGGGGAGCCTGGAGTCCAGCTCAGCACCACGGAGAGCTCCGAGGAGCTGGGAGGAAGGGCCGCTGGGGGACTGGGACAAGCCAGCACCGTGGTCGTTGACAGGGATGCCCTGGAACCAGGGCCCGATTGCTCAGAGGGGCAGGGGGCATCCTGGCCTTTCCCTTCCAAGGGCCAGTGTCTGTCAGGCAGGCTGGGCCCCAGACCAAGGGCTCCACCCTCCTCCCACGTGTCTCCATGGACCTGTTCATCTTAGCTGGGAGGGGCTGATGAGGACATGTCGGGCACACCTGCCCCCTGCCCTTCACTGTGTCCCTTCTCCCCCCAAAGCCAATGATGGACCGGAACAAGGCAGCTGAGCTCCCCAAACTACAGGTTGGCTTCATCGACTTTGTGTGCACCTTCGTGTACAAGGTGAGCAGGCAGCTCGGGGCCTGCTGGGTCGAAGGAGGCAGGAGGGGCTGGTGAGGTCACTGATCGCCCGGGGCCTCCCCGGCCCCCATGTTCCTCACATATTCACTTAAAATCCAAAATCTTCAGTGTCATCCCAAGCGAGATTCTCCCACCTCTACCTCGTCTGGTCAGCTCCTTGGCAGCATGGGGCTTCCTCCCTCTCAATGTCCTCACAGTCACCTCGAGGTCTCACCTCAAATGTCCCTTCCCCAAGCCCCACCTGGGTGCTCCCCACAGCCTGCATGTTGTTCTCGGGGCCCTGACGGCAGGTGCATCTGCCGCACGTCGTCAGTGTCTGTGAACCTGAGGACAGGGATGTCCCCATCACAGCTGGGTGTGCTTCGCCCAGCAGATGCCTGCTGCTTAACTGACAAGTGACAACTGGACACCAAAACAAAGCTCAGGGGACTGGCCAGGGACTGGGGGTAATTTGATGGCACAGCCTCTCCCCAGTGATGCCCACATGTCCAGAGCTCCACCCTGCCACCTTGGGGGCTGCAGGGCAGACCCTACACTCCTAGGAGGATGCTGTCCAGTTCTGAGTGGTCAGCCCTGACTGGACCAGTCCCTCCCACCTTGGCCCCCTGCCACCTCACTTCCCTTCACTGAGATTCCAGCCCCCTTTCCTGCCTCCACAGCTGAAGTGCTGGGTGGAGGCAGGACCAGGGTGTGCACTCAGTCCTGATGTCACAGGTCACCGCCCCACTGCAGTGTCCCCTCCCCTACTGCACCCGCATGCCCACAGCTTGTGTGCTGGTATGCTTGTGTAGTGTGAGTGTGTGTGCATCGTGTGTGGTGTGTGTATGAGACACAGGAGAGGAGCACAGGATCTGCCTGTCTGCCAAGTTCCCCCACCCCCTCTGCAGTGGACATTTTCTACCCCATTCTTGGGGTCCCTGCCCTGCTAGGACCTCATGTGTCATAAGCATTCGCACCCACAGCTCCCATTCTAACCTCAAGAATGCAAATGCAGAGCCCTTCCCCCTGTTCAGGGCTTTGCTGGGAAGTGGCACCTCAGTGGCCCCCCCCACACCACCTCCCGCCAGCAGGCCCCTCGGGGTTCTCCTCAGAGCGGAACCGAGGCATGGGAACAGACATCACCTGGGCATGGGAACAGACATGACCTGTCCCTTCCACCTGGGGAGCAGTTGGGAGGTCAGGCCAATGTCTCGACTCCCTCTCCAGGAGTTTTCCCGTTTTCATGAGGAGACCCTGCCCATGTTAGAGAGACTGCAGAACAACAGGAAGCAGTGGAAGGCCCTGGCCGATGAGTATGAGGAGAAAGTGAAGGCCCTGGAAGAGCAGCAGCAGCAGGAGAGGACAGCGGCCAAGAAAGGTCTGGGCCCACGTGGCACAGGACGTAGCCAGCGGAGGGTGGGCACTTGGTTAGCCCCAAGTCTGAGCGCGTGCGGAGAGAATAACAGCTGTGTCGGAAGCGGTTGTTTCCCGGTTTGCCCCACACTGTGGGAACGTGGCTGCACTGGAGCGGCTGTGGCCGCACTGGAACCCGTGACCGTGCTGCCTCGTGTTCAGCTGTGCTCGGCCACCTCAGCCCTGGGACTTCTGCTGCTATTCCCTCCTGTGGGAGGGAATCAACACAAACAGGACAGTTTCAGGGATGCAGGAAGCCAGGCTGAAAGTGTCACCAGGGCTGATGGGAAAGGCCGAGCCCCAGCTAATCGGCTCAGCCCGTCCTCCTGCAGGGTTGCAGAGGGTACGGGAGCAGACGGGAGGGGGCCCAGCTGGGGCACGAGAGGCTCTCTCTCACCATCTTGTCTTCTCTTACAGTGGGCACAGAAATTTGCAATGGTGGCCCAGCACCCAAGTCCTCAACCTGCTGCATCCTGTGAGCCACTCGGCGGGGTCTGGCGGTTCCCTCATCCCACACACCTATGGGTACTCTACCTCTAACCACTTGGTACAAGAGGTCAGGAAGCCCGAGACAATGACTGAACACAATTTTGGATACTTTGAATTTTTTTTTAAGGTTTGTGTTTTTATATAAACTAAAGTGAACTACAAATAACAAATAGCATAGCCTATACTACACACCTTCATCCGTCTCTGAATACATAGTCTCACCTGAGACCTTGAGTCTGTGAAACTTCAAGGCACCAGCTGAGTGTCCCCATGTTTATGTGCATATGGGTAGATAGAGGGATACAGAGATGCTGTTTCCCAGCTAGTTTAGGGAACAAATTTGGAATAAAATGAAAATAAGTTGACCTTTTTTTCTGTGTGGAAATTACAGCAGAGGACACTTTGTATATGACCAAAGGACCAATCAGGAAATTTTGGCAGGAGGGTTAAGGCAGTGAATAGAGCAGTAATCAGATGTGAGCTGTACAGAAATAATCTGTAATCAAGGCTTCCTGTGTTGTCATTGCTGAGTGACCCAAAGATCAGGGAGGGTCTCCCTCCCAGCACCTGTGGTCTGACACCTGTGGCCTGCCCAGCCCCCTCCTCTGCAGCTGGGGGTCCCTTACTGCACCACCACATGCCTCCAATGGCTTAACGAAGCCGAGAAGGCAGTCATCCCAAACTGGGAAACACAGGACACACGTGAGATGGGTTCTAATTATCTGGCAGAAATTATGGACTTTTAACTCCTAATGTGAGCTCTAAGCATCTGTCCCCAACACTGGATGACACTTAACCCTACCCCCCAGGGAACTCCTTTCAGCTCAGGTTTAGGCCAGTTGTTACAAGGCCAATTCAGATGTCACCCAGGCGCTCCCCCCACACTCCCAGCAGAGATGGGGAGGGCGTAGTGGACATGCCCCACAGCCAGGCCTCACAGGAAAGAGCATTTCTCCCTTTCTATATATGAGGTCAGTCACACCTGGTGACAAGGTCCTGTGACTGGAGCAGGGCTCTTCCAGGTTCCCAGAGGAACTTGGAGCCAGCTGGCTGCTCTAGGCCGGATCTCACCAACCTCACAGGTGGGCTCACCTTAACCAAACATGGGGCTTTGACGTGCTGGGATGCTGCTATGTCGTCTTCCACTTGCCTGTGAACTCATTTTACAGTGAAATGGGTGAGAAAAAGCAGAATCTGGCTCTCCCCTCAGGTGCTGGGGCCCAAGCCTCCTAAACAGCTTATGTAGCATCCTGTCCTGGTCCTCAGGCCACATGCCCTCCCTGGGGTCAGGGGAGGATTCATGAAGGGTGCTGGAGACCCATGTCTCAACTGTAAGGGCCTCAGCCCCACCCCCCACATTTGCACTGCAGGCCCCTTCCCTGCATATCCAGGGTCTGGGCCAGGGCTCTGGAGACTGAGGGTCAAGCGATACCATGATGATGGTCCAGCTGTATGTCTGTTACAAACTGCACCCTTTGGGCTGCCATCTGGAAGCCCGAGAACAGGTAACAGAGTTCCTGTGCTTCCCCCGACACACACACATCTTGCCTCTGTGGTGGGTGATAATTCTTCTGAGACCCCCTCCCACTCCCAAGGCGCACAGTGGGGCCTAAAGGAGAACCAGAGCATCACACAACACAGAAAGCTTTATTCATGCGCACTGCTGGGAGGGGCAGGCTCACTTCAGGATGCTGTCGTCTCGGGCTGAAAGATCAGGAGAAAATGTGCATTACTGCCTGTTCAAGCAGCTCAGAAGGAGCACTTCAGGTCTGGTGGTAAAGGCGCCGTGGAGCCCAGTTATACTCTGTTTAAGCTCGGTCCTCGGTGGTCCGTATCCCCGAGCGTCGGGAGGAGAAGCGCGGGCGCGGGCCCTGCGGATCCTCGGAGGGAGCCCTGACCAGCTCACACCCCCAGACACTTAACCTCCAAGGCCCAGGGCCCGGCCTGGCCAAAGGCAAGGTGCCCCCAGGTCCCCCGGGGCCGCCCACTGGGCTGGGCAGCCCTGCCCCCCGCTGCCTGTCCCTGGGAGCAAACGTCTGTTCCTGAACATCTGGGTGGAGGGCAAACATGAGACCCACAAACACCTGTACCTTCTGCCAGTTCTCTCTCGATCCGCTTAAGCTCATCCTGCCTCTTCTTCTCCTCCGCGGCGACCCTCCTCTCCTCCTCCGCCCGAGGCTTCAGGTAGCCTGTCCAGGGGCGGGAGGGGCTGTCAACCGACCTCACCCAAATGCTACGGAAAAGCCACTCAGCGGCTGCGCGTCGCCCTAGGACCCGGGGCACAGGCCCGGCGGCGGGGTAGTGCTGGCGGCTCGGAGGCAGCCTGCGGACGTGTCCCCCTCCCCCTCCCCCTCTCTGAAGTCCATAAAGATACATTGTGTCTAAACAGCGGCTCAGTCCACACCCGAGTTCCTCCGGGTGCGCCTGCTTTCAATTCGCCTCTAGCTCGGTGTAGGGGGCCTGCGGGGCCCCTGCGAGAGCCGAGAGAGCGGGGACGCGGCTCCGGCGCGCCCAGCTGTCCACGGCCACCTGCCCGCGAGTGGGTGCCTGCGCCGCGCGGCTC